GCAGTGAATGGGCGGCGATGGCGCCGGTGCGAGGTGGGGCGGCAGTGGGTCAGGGATAACGGTGGGGTGGTGGCCCGGTCGGGCTGGGGCGTCGCTGGCGAGGGGCGGAGGTGGGGTTGGTAGGAAAGATAGTGGGGCAGAAGAAAATAGAAGGATAATTTGGACATTTCAATGATGTAGTCAACCCTCACAAAAAATAAGGAAAAGGTCAAATTGGGAAGTTTAATTCCGGACGGAGGGAGTAATAATACTCCCTCCGTCTACCTAAGTTCTTCCCGTTACGCGTTACGAGGCTTGACCGACTTTATTTTCAATTTAATTTAATTGATTATAGGAGTAAAATTTTGAAATAAAATTTATATAGTAATAAACTACATGAAAAGTTCTACAAAACTAGAGGTGACAAGACTATATTATTTTACGAAATGACTAATAAAAATGAGCAAACAAAGTGAGTAAAGTTTGACCCTGTGAATAGTGTCTGGAAAGATCTATGGTGGACAGAGGTTATTTCCTAATACTCTCTATTACGGAGTACTCCGTATGTTTTAACGTGGATTTGGCAAATTGACAAGTCGACTACCTTGGACGATGGCGATATCTCAAAACTGTTACGTAGACGGAGACACCGACGAGGGCGGAGGGCGACGCGCTGGAAATGTTTTAGAAGCTTAAGATCCGCCGGTGATGTAGTCAGCATATATTTATAAAAAGTAAAGGGGATAAAAGAGGAAAACGAAGAAGGAAGTAGGAGGAGAAAAAGAGAAAGAAGAAAAAGGAGAAGAGTGCGTGTCTGATTGCGAGCGGTGACTGCCTTGGACGGTGCCAATTGATCTGCACATCTGGTGAAGGAGAAGAAGAAGAAGAAAGAGGAAAATGAGAGGAAAAAAAAAGAAAGAAAGAGGAGAAGAAGAAATAATGAGAGGAAGGATGAGTAGAGAAGAGGAAGAAAAGAAATGGGAACTGGGTTGAGAAAAGGAGAAAGAAAGGAATGAAGAAGGAAGGAAAAAAGAAAAAAAAAAGAATTCCACGGATAATAAACAATGACATACTCCCTCCGTTTCGAAAAACTCTTCCCATTTGATTTGGGGGCAAAAATAAGGGTGTTAAATTATAGTTGATTTCTAATTTTGCCCCTGATGTGATGGGTAAAAGTAAGATGTGATGGATAGATTATTAGAGAAAAAGTATGATGTGATAGATAGGGTATGAAAAAATAAGGGTAAATGTGGTTTTTTAATAGAAAGGGGAAATGTTTTGTTGGAAATGAAAAAAATGAAAGAGAAAGTGTTTTTGAGAACGGAGGGAGTATAATTTTATAAATTCGTGTTGTAAAATATATAAATATCTATGTGACTCTACATAAACTTAAAATGATTCATTGATGCTACATAATCTACATATTTTAAATAATCTATCAAATTTTTTTAAAATTTGAATTGAATGTCCCCCCTAATAAACGTTCAGAGGGAGTGGCATGTTGTTAGTGCCGTGATACACGAAACATTATAGGAAAAAACTAAAGTAGAAGTAAAACATAAAAAATATATACCAAAATAGAATTTCCATATTTGTATTCTCAAAATAAGAGTTAACATGCATATACAATGTCAATTATACCAATACTCCGTATATAATACCAAAAAGTAATGTAAAATGTCCATATACAATGTCACATATTATCAGGATACACGGGATAAAAAATGAAAATGTGATTTTGGTATTTTATTATTTAAGTTTTAATTCTATTTTAATATTTTCTCTACGATTTACTCATATTTAGCCTATTTAGTCCTTTTGAATTAGAAAAAAATATTTTTCAATTTTTTTTTCAATTCTTTTTAGTTTTTCCAACTTCTTCCAATTCATTCAAACTCCTCCTCGTTTCTTCATTCCAACGACTTAAAAAACTATATGTACATAATGAATATACAATAATATTATGTGAAATTTGCACTAAATAGGAGTAAAGCATAATGACTTTCCTAATCTAGGACTTAAACTTTTTTATTCCCTAGACTTAATAATGTCTTAGTGGAAGGAATATACAATAATATTATGTGAAATTTGCACTAAATAGGAGTAAAACATAATGTCTTTTTTATTCCCTAATATTATATATCTAAATTTATAACATATCACCTCAAATCACGTACATAGATGAATTCTTTTTTATTCAAAATTAGAGTTCGCTTACATATTTATTTGAGTGATCAATTAATTAAATGACTTTTTAATGTTTTAAATTTTTCAACTCATTTCAGTTTTTTCCAGACCTTTCTAATTTTTTTAACATATTCTAATTTTATCCAACAAGAACATGACCATTATATGGACTCATCAAGTACCAATGTACCATCCAACTTGTCCGGCTCATCTCTTTTTTTTTTTTATATATAAAGAGGGATTGATCGAGTCGGAGAAGAGAATTCATTCAACAGAGATATAGAGAGACATGAGTAGGGCGGCTGTCGTCTTCTTCCTAATAATTCAAAGTACTGTTCCGATTCTGTTCGCCGCCGCCGAAGCCGCTTCTCGTTCGCCGGTGAAGTTTCTTCCGGGCTTCGATGGCCCTCTTCCTTTTCAACTCAAAACTGGGTTTGTCCTCATCATTTCTTTATTCTTCTTTTTCACCTAATTCACACTTCCCTTTTGTTTTGTCCTGAAATAAAGCCCATATTTCTTTCTATACGGTCTTCCAGTCCCTTGATCTCACGAACAAAACAAAGAGCTCACATATTTGATTTCTTGGTTTTACAATCCCCTTCCTTAATGATTTATTTTATGTATTTTTATTTATATTCTTTTTAAAATTTATTTATTTATCTATTTTATTTAATTACTTATTAATATTTATTTATTTACTAATTTTTTATATACGTAGTACTTATTATTTTTTATACTTATATTTAATTTAATTATTTATATTTATTTACTTTTATTTTTATTTGTTTGTTTTTAAATTATTTGTTATACATTTATACGAGTATATATATATATTAATACGGAGTATTAATTTATTTATATTAAGTTTTTTATTTTATTTGTTAAGCAATTTTTATCCATTACTTACATTTACGGAGTATTATTTTTTTTAATGTGTGTGAGTGTTTGGACATATATTCGAAATTTTGAACAACTAATCTTTGATGTTATTTTGTTATTCAACCATGCTAGAGGTACATCAAAAGTGTATCCCGATTTATACCTCAAGGAAATGTACCGATATTTTAACGATTCACACGGGTAGAAAATGTTAGTTTAATTAGAAAAATTACACTGATGTTTTTTTCCAATGTAAATCATCACACTAACATAACACCATCACAAAATGTCGGTGCATGTCTTTGGGTACAAATGAGGTACAAATTTTGGGATACAAATAGCTTATTATTGAGGCAGTGGTAATTAAACAAATCTTTCTAAATATGAGTAAAAATATGAAAATATCAAAATAAAAATACTAAGACAGTGTTCTGTTCAACTTATTTTTTTGCTTATTACTTTTTCTTATTATAATCAGATCAAATCAAATCAGATCAGATCAGAAACAACTTTAACTATAATTGCAATCAGATCAGATCTTTAAAAATTAGATCAGATCAGATCAGAGGAACGGAACGCATCCTAAGTCATTTAAGATCAAAATATGTGTATCATGCTAGTGTGGTGTAAAGATACACGTTGGCAGTGTGATAAAAAATGATGATACTGTAATATGTCAGTATAATCAGCCAACCGTCAGTGGTCTCGACGATACTCTTGTGATCGGTGGCAACAGATGACAGTGTAGTGGTGATAGTGTGACAGTTACAATGTGATGATATGGTAGTGTAACATCGAGAATATAAACTCTTATTTTAATATTTTCATAATTTCTTACACCTATCTAAGAATTAATTTCTAAATTTAAATTTCTTTTCAACAAAGAATTTCATAAAAAAATGCATTGAGAAGATAACTTTTCAGGAAAATAATTTTTCAGAAAATTCTCCCCTCGCTCCTAAGTCCTAACCCACTCCACAAAATAGATTGGGTATTTTGGAGGAGGGAGAAGTTAGGCGAGCTGTGAGAAAGTATGGTGTTCCAATAATTGGGGGGGGGGGGGGGGGGA